GCCATAGGCTTGTGCTAATAATGTTAGCATGTTGTATTTGTGGGGAAAATGTGTCCAGATAAAGACAAGTGTTTGTCTGTGAATGCTGCGAGTTATAGTGAAGCTGATTTGTGTACTTATGTTTGAAATTGTCTTCATGCTTAATGTGTGTTTAATGTGTGTTTTGAATCAACTAAACTTTACAGCACTTCTCAGAAACCTCTGCCGCTGACTAGTGTTTTGGAGGTGTAACTGCAGAGTGACACAGACACCACCGCACAAGTATAAATGCTCACAACGGCGTAGGCGACGTGCGTGGGCTACGTGCATAGGGTCTGCGCACAACTATAAATCCCACTTAACAATAACCAAGTGGTTTTTGTGCCTACACCCAACCAAACGTTATCCTCAGCATTGCTACATAATAGCACACAAATGTAATTAATCCGTGGTTTGCAGAAACAAAAGTTAAAAAGTACAAGAATAGAAAAACAAACAGAGAACACACACAAATGTACCGCAAATCTATATAAAAACAATGGTTGTGTTTAAAGGCAAGCTTTAAGACAATGTGGAAACACTTCTCATATTAATAAATCTCAACCACAGACGGAGAGAACAAACGAAACTGGTGTTATAAAACTAAACTCTCACAGCAACAAATGACATTTCCTGAGAGCCAAACATGCAGCCTACACATACAGTAAGTGATGTTTTCCCATAAACTACTCTCAAAGACCTCACTAAAGCTATTTTCAGCTTGTTTAAAAGTAGCCAAGCTCTGATATGAATCAAGTAATTGCTAACAGAGTCCCCATGATGCAATTTTAGCTATAAGCTCCGAGAAGCAGGGATCGGCCATTAAAGTGGAATAAAATGATACCATTAATTCGTCTCTATTGAGTGGCCTAATGCCTTCCTAAGTCAAGAGTGTGTGGCGCCGTTTCATGTTTAAAGAAGTGCATTTTACGTGGTAATTGAAAGGCTTTTATGTCACAAAGCGTTTGGGTCCAAAGCTAGTGCTGATGGATTAATCCTGACTCTGACAGAGCAATATAAAGAGAGGGCATTTTGCAGAGAACACATGAAAGCATTTCTTGGATCTTAAATGATAACTTTAATCTACGAGCCAAATTTTCCACAACAACCTACAGATAGATGGGGCTTATGTGTCATCATTACAGCTTTGGCGGATTGTATTACTGTATTCTCACACAAAAAATGACTTGTGTGCAAGAGTGACAGTTAAATCAAGATGCCTGCGTGGAAGTGCTTTTTGGTATGTCATCCTGTTACAGTTCCACATTTAATCGGATTAGAGAGGAAGCTTTTGCTCGGGGGACAACTAAATCTGGAACGAAACGAGGAAAAAAAAAGACATTTATCATACTTTAAAATTTGCTTTTCTGTGCTTTAAATCAAATTCTGTTGCTGCGAGACATCTTAATTGTGCTGTTCCTTCTGTCCCCAGTGGAATTTCCTATCAAGTCATTTAAGTATGAAAAAGCATAACCTTTGAATAAATGGCAAAAAAATTCCCATGAGACCAGTGAAGGCTTGAGAGCAGCCAAACCCGCCAACTAACCAGAAAACCAACATCACCCTCCATCACTGCCATGTCATGACATCATCCTGCTTCCTCTCTACTGGTGTCCCTGTGGTCTGGACTCCTAATTCTCTGGCTCGAATACTGATGCTCTCAAAAAGGGCCGGGCAACTTAATCCGACGCTGAGAGACAAGAAAATAATAGCGCTGGGTCCTGTTCCTGTCTCTGTCTCTCTGCAGCATGTCAACGTGAATATTCTCCCCGTGAAGAGTGCCGTGATACAACCTGACATTACCAGCTCGGATTGCCCCCAAATTAGATAGAGTTAGTTTGCTTTGGCTGCACTTGCCGCTCCACAAAAACCTGGACACTGTATAAACTCCAGAAATGTCTTTAATGACAGACACATGGCACTGAAATGTGACCCCGAGCGAGAGATAATCACTGTCATTTAGTGTTAGAGCAAATCAGTGTGGGCTATTAACACTAAAACCAGTACAGACCTACACCAGCGGTAAGGGAACAGTTTGGTGAGTACAGGGACAAGAATTTAGACTTTGACTGCATTTCATCATGGTAACATGTCTCCTTGCTTCCATGACTTGCTTCCTTTCCTCCCGTCTTAGTCACGCTCACGGGAGATGCAAGCAGGGAAGGCATGGAAGAGATGGGAGAGAAATCCTTGGTTCCAAAGCCTCAGTCTTAAAGGTCCAATGTGTAAGATTAAGTGGGATTTAGTGGCATCTAGTGGTGAGAATTCTGAGTTGCAACAAGCTGAAACTTCTCCAGGTTAGAATTCCTTCAGTGTTGATTGTTCAGGAGGTTTTTGCTGAGAGCCGAAATATCTACAGAGGTCTCTTCCTCTCCAAAACAAACCAACCCAGTGATTTAAACCAGTAACAGCAAATTAAGCAGTTTCACGTTAAAAAAATCTGCGCAGCCGCCAACACGTAAATGGCTCTATCGAGAGGGTATTCGGTGTGTCCATTTCTGTAGACAAGGACCTGCTCCCTATGTAGATATAAACTGCTCATTCTTTGGTAACGAAAACACAATCATTCTTATTTTCAGGTAATTATACACTAAAGAAAACATACTTATCATATTATATTCAATTTTTGCCAATATATCCCCCTAAATCCTACACACTGGACCTATAGGCAACATAAGTTACCATGACGTGGTGCAGAGCTGCATCAACCATCAAACCAACTTGTATAAATGTCTACAGAACCCTATATTTAAGAACAATTTTAAAACCTTACAGTATCTTTCATAGATTGATCAATAGATATATAGAAATATAGGAACATCTCTTAAACAAACAATAAATAATGAACAGTTATTAGTGGTATTATGAGGCTTTGCTGATTTTATTCATTATTAAATACTCCCTTTAAATCTTCTAATTTATGTATATTATTATATTGCATCTAACCATGTAATTGTGTTCTATTCTGAGTAGATCCCTATGTACGACACTATAAAGGAAGCAATGTGAGAATAAACTGTGTGAATGTACAGTCATATGGAGGTGTAATATGTCACAGAACACAACACAGAATCTCACCTTAACCCTTGGGGAGCTCCACAGTCACAGCACTTGATTAAAGACTTCTTTGTAGGACACACTGATGCTTCCTCACACTAAGCTCCTCCAGAAGCCTCCTCTCTCCTTGTCTCCTCAAGGTGCATTTAAGGGATCGGAACAACCTTCATGATGGCAGAAGGCGAGCGATTCCCAGGTCAGTGGAGGACAGAGGCAGTGAGGAAGCAAAAGTTAGCCAAAGTCATCCATAGTCAGTGTATTTCATGCAGTAGATGTCAGTCTGCACTCCCCAGTTTGGAGAAGCAGACAGGAGTACTGACATAGATGCTAAACAATGTACTGCTACTGACAGGTGCAGCAGAAAAATGTTTTTTTAGCCACCTAAAGTAAGTCCCACTGAAAAAAAATTATATCACCATATTTAGAATATTTTCACCCCTTTACTTTGCCGTCAGACAGTGATTCCAGATGGGGAACTTAAGTCACTATATCGCTTTTTTAAAAGCCAGACTCCATTGAGGAAAAACAGTAATTTAGCATCACTGAACACAGGAACTGCTGGTCTACCTCTGCCAATTAGATGCCTCTCTCAATTAGATAGTTAGTGTTATAATGTAACTTAAGTATTTAAAAAGGTTAGTTTGGATTCACCAAAGTTACACAATAACACAAACAACCTGACTGATCAATGCAGCAGTTCAGTGAGTTAAATTTACTGTTTTTGATAATGGAGACACAGACAGGGAACTGAAACTGTTAACAGCTTTAGGTGGGACTATTTTTTGTGGTTTCAAAAGACTTCAAATGATCTGAACTATTCTTTAATAGACCAAAATGATTTATCTAGAAAAAAATGGCAGAGTAATCAATAATTAAAATATATAAAATTGTTACCCAAAGTGTGCGAGTAAGCTAGCTGGTAATGTTAGCCAGTAATTACAGCTAGCTGTGCACACTGAAGGATTATTATCAACATTTCAGGATCCACAAATTTAAATTTTACCTCCAAATTAGGTGGTTTGGATCATTTGGCATAAGTGTTTCATATTTATTCGACAACTCTTATTTCTTGCCCCTTAGAAATTTGATGTTAGCAATGTAGCCTAATTCTCTGATTCAGGCAACTTGTATCATGTAAAAATGTTAGCGTTAGGCTACTCATCCAAACATAGGTAAGAGGTATTAAAAAGAAACCAAAGCTGTAATTTATTGGAATTATCCTTATATTCACCCTTTTTACTGCTGACATTTTAAATTGTCAAAGTAGGAGAAGCCTACAAATAGCCTAATTTTAATGTTAACCAGAGAACAAGCAAAATACCAAGGCCCTGGAACCTGAAAAATGCTGACAATGTTAGCATTTTGTGACAAAACCATGCAGTCAGTCATTATTATTTTTAAAACTTGTCTCTTACATCAAAAAGGTTTTTTTGAGTTGTAGACATTTAAAGCCAACATAAGAAAAGATATAGAGCCTAATCATTAACCTAGGGCCAAGTAATTCAGGGTTCTGGCTCCACAGGGAGAAAAAGAGAAAAAGAGGACAGTTGGCAAAAGGCAGCATGGGTAGCTGAGAATTATAGACCCAAGTTTGACTGCTGAAATTGTAACATTTAACCCTGCTGTGAGAATAAAAAGAGTGAAGTAGCCTTTTCCTGACAGGAGCAATTCAGTGCACTGATCACCAAACCCTATATTAGCATCATCATTCAGTACTTTTCATGTTATAAATAGTAAGTTTTTGCTCTACGGGTTCACCTCTCATGGATTTTATCCAGCTGTGCTGTAAGAAACACCTGTCACTTCACAGTATTTCTTCCAACATCTCCCATCGACTTCTCCTCATTTTCCCTGCAACTTCCACAGTCGAACCCATGTTTAATGACCCATGCGAGCTCCCTTACTTTTCGTTTCCAGGAAGTAACGTTCGCTACACCCTCAAAACAAAAGCGTACAACGCAGTTTTTCGTCAAATTATGTCACATTTTACAAAATTGCTCCGTAAATTACGTTGTAACACGAGAGACTTTCTATGTGCCGACAGTCCGCGGTCCGGTTAAAGTTTACCACCGACATAATTTGTACTTTATTCTTTTCGCTTGAGCCACTTTGCTAACGTTTGTAGCAGGCTGAGGAGTTAGCATAAACAGCTAATGTTGCTGTAACTTGAGGTGGATAAGGGTTCACAGCAAGACTGAGCCAAAGGCGACTTTGAATGTAAGTGGACGAGTGTTCATACACAGAGGTGGGTGGATAAGCTAACGGCTACTAAGTAATTTACTGTGTTGTGTTTGTACTTTTATGTTAAAGTTCATAGATATTTATTTACATTAATTAGCACCTGGCAGGTTTCCAAAGAAATAATATAACAGTCAGTCGTTCCAAGCAGGTGCAAGTGTAGTAGGTCTAGCACATATTATTCACCGACATTTCCACGTTTCTTTGAAAATCTGATACATATATATATATATATATATATATAGGAGTCCACATATATACATACATATATACATACACATTTGCCACACAAAATTATTTTGCCCCAATTCAATTTAAACATAATGATGATAAATTCAGTCTTTGAGCTTGCATCCACCTGTAGACTCAGAACCTGTGATAAGAGGTCACATGGAGATAAATCTAATTTTAAGGGATTATAAGCCTAAAGGCTGGGAGCCACTGTCTTTCATATAAATAAAATTTACTTTTAAATTATTAATTAAATTATCTAACACTACATTATAACAAAAGATATCTTAGGGTACTTTTCATATAGACCACATCTAGATCATAGAGTGTATAAAATAAGATCAGTGGTGAAACATTACTCCCACTTAGGGTTGCAGTGGTGTATACCGTGGTATGAGAATTGATGTTTATCATACAGTGTAAATTTGCTTATATTGTATTGGAGAAAAAGGCAACTGGACGGGGATTCTCACATGTGCATCTCATTTCCTCCTCGACTGCCTGTCAGACAATTTACACATACTTTTATGAAAGAAAAATGGTTTCAGTTATTTTAAAAAGCATTTGTTTGACAAAAGAAACTGTTGTTTTCATGTCTTTGAGGGTCATTTTAATTGATAATAATAATAATATTAATAATAATAATTGCGTAATACCGTGAAATTATTGAAGACAGTTATCATACCTTGAAAATCTCATACCGTTGCAACTCTACAAATGAAAACAAGTGCACTGATACACGTTACTAATGTCAAATCCCATCAAGCAAAAATAGTTTTGTCTCCATCAAATCATCATTCAAGTCTGTTTTGTCAGTGACATTTTTTTTTAAATATTAGGGAGCAAATGATGTTTTGTGAAGCTTCAGGGCTTAGTTTTGACTTTGTGACCTCACCACTGATGTTTGGAAGTCAATTTATCACTAGCAGGTGTGTCAGGTTGCTACCTCTGGTGAGATGGTGGTCTTAGAGATGCCTTTAAAAGGGACAGTTTAAAAGATTTTGTCATTTGTAATGCAGCATTTTACTATTATCATTGGAGCTGCAACTGCAGTTGATTAATTGACAATTGACAAATGACAGAAAATCAAGTGGAAAAAAGTCTTCTTTTTTTTTTTTTTTGGTAAAAATGCCAAACATCCTCTGGGCTATTTTAACCTTTTCCATCTTGGGGATTTGCTTCTCTCTTTCTTGCCAGCTTTTCTAGTAGTAAACTGAATATTTATAGATTTTTTAGTTTTGGTTTGGGGAAACGAGCACTTTGGTTATATGACCTTGTGCTTTAGAAAGTATTGAATATGCATTTTGTCACCGTTATCTTCACCAGTTTGATATATAGCTAATATTTTCCTTTCCTTTATTTCACCCACACAGGACGATGCCTCGCCTGCAGTCTGGTGTCTGGAAGCACTTCACCCCAGCTATCAAAGATGGTAGGGAAACCTTCATGTGCAACTACTGTTTAAAGACATACACAAAGAATGCTACCAAGATGCAGATGCATTTGGACAAATGCAAGGAGTACTCTGTGGTTTCGCAGCAGTCACCAGGCCGAGATGGGAGCTCCTCTGCCTCCATTCCTGTTCCCTCCCTCTCTTTCTTACCATCTGCTTCTCCAGGGGGACAGTTCCTCATTGATTCGGTGGATCAGCGCAGCCAGGCATTTGCCGACGAGTGCCTAGCAAGAGCTGTGTATGCCACTTTGTCGCCCTTAACTCTCGCAGACAATATTTATTGGAAAAGATTTTTCAGCGTGCTCAGGCCTGCTTACTGTCCGCCCACCAGAGAGGCCTTGTCCTCTTCTCTACTGGACTGCGAGTATGACAGAGTGCAAAGCCAGGTTCATGAGGCCATTGGAAAAGCAGACTGTGTCACCATCATCTGCAGTGGCTGGTCTAATGTAAAAGAAACTGGAACTATCCTTTTTTCTGTCGCAACTCCTGTACCGTTTTTCTACAAATGTACAACGGTAAAGGAGCAGACACACACAAGCACTTATATTGCTGAGGAGCTGAAAGATGTTATAAATGAAGTGGGACCACAAAAAGTGTTTGCTGTTGTCACTGACGACGCCCCAGAAATGATGACGGCTTGGACTCAAGTAGAAAAGGCATTCCCACACATATCAGCTATTGGCTGCACATCGTGTGGAATCCAACAGCTCTTCGATGACATAGTTTCAACACCATCTATGAGGGCTGTGTGCAGGAGAGCTGAGCAGGTGGTGAGATATGTCACAGAGCAAAAAATCTTAGCAGAGACCTTTAAATGCTGGCAGACTACAAAGATAAGAAATCACACTGCTAGTGGGACGACATTGACACTGCCTGTTAACTCTGACTGGACTGGTGTGGTTAACATGTTCAACAGCCTCCTGGAGGGTCAGAACACGCTACAAAAGATGGCTGCTTCACCCACACTTAACATTGAAACATCTATCAGGGTCAGGATACAAGATGCTTCATTTTGGAAAGAGTTAAGCAGCAGTCGAAACCTGCTCTACTTGATTGGGAATTACATTGATTACATGAAGAGAGAAGACGCTGTGTTATCCGGTGTAGTTGACATGTTCAGTCAGTTAAGACACCACATCGGAGCTATGCTGTCCAGGTCTGTGCTGCACGGTGCTGAACAGAAAGCCGTCATGGCATCATTAGACAGGTGTCAGGAGTTTTGCGTAAAGCCCATCCACGCAGCAGCGTATATGCTGGATCCACAGCATGTTGGACAGCAGACACTCTCTGGGGAGCAGATAAACAGCGCTTACTATGTGATTTCCAACCTGTCACACCATCTAAATCTTGATGAGGGTAAAGTGCTTGGCAGCTTTGCCAGATTCTCAGCCAAGCAGGGATTATGGAAGGGTGCCGGGATATGGAGCTCATGCCAGCACGTGTCAGCATCCACCTGGTGGAAAGGGCTGTGTTCCTCTGAGCCGCTGTCCGCTGTGGCCTTTGCTATACTTCAGATCCCACCGACAACAGGTGCCTGCGAGCGCCTGCGGTCACGCTTTTGCAGTACAAAGGTGCAAGGTTCTCTCTCAGCTGACAGGGTGCAAAAACTGGTGGCAGTACAGACAAATCTCAACCTTATAGAGCCAAGTGAATGTGACTATGCTCAGCTGGAGAGTGAGGAAGAGAAGAAAGTATCATTTCAATCTGAGACTCAGTAGTAAGACAAAATGAGATATCTGAAGCCATGTAGGGCAGACAGCATGAACTGTGATTCTCATTCCTTGTGAAGGAAATATATTAAGAAATAGCCTTACAAGTCAGCAAAATACAGACAAATAAATCCGGTTTGTCAGATTAAATGTAAATTTCCTCTGAGATGTCTGAACTTGCACTGTGCTCTTATTCCTCTCTTCACTCCAAGGCCTTGTAAAATAAAAATGAAATGAGTAATGAGTGACAGAATCTGATGCCTTATTGTGCTTTAATCATATACAATACAATAGTTATTTTGCACTTCTTCTTCAGTTACTGTTTCAACTTAATAAGCACAATATGAAATATTAACAGACTAACAAGAGCTCTTATCTTCTCTTTTAGAGTATGTTGCTAATAAATTCAGTTTCAGTTTATTTTATTTAAGAAGCGACAGTGAAAAATAATTAATGCTGCCGATACAAAAATGCCAGAATTAGCCAATAGGCTATTTTTTTTAATCTGTAGTCCCTTGGCCAAGATGTATCATAAGGCTACCTAAAATACAACAAAGCAAAAAAACACAAACAAAAAGACAGGGCATACAGTTTGAAGACGTCTTTAAATACATCAGCAAGAGAAAGAAAGAAAGAAAGAAAAAAAGATAGTACATGCAATCTTAAAGGGCCAGTGTGTAATATTTGGCATGGTTTATTGTCAATCTAAATCTGAATCTGAATATTCTACCCATTAATATGTTTATACAAGTGTATGATCGCTATAAAATAAAATTCGTTTGGTTTTCGTAGCCTTATAATTATGCTTTTATATATATATATATATATATATATATATATATATATATATATATATATAGCAAGGGCCTTGCTTTAGAGAGGTCGCCATCTTGCGCCGCCATGTATGTATGGCAGACCGAGTGGACAATCCAGCCAGCCAGAGAACATGTTTCGCGTGTATAAATAAACCAACGAAGACAGCGGAAGGAAGGAAGAAGGAGGAAGAAACAGCAGAGAGTGTTAGTAGTTCGTCGATAGAGAGTAGTGAAAAGTTTTTTTAGTTATAAAGTTTGCAGATGGACCACACTTACCACGCAACAGGAGAGAATGAACCCGAACCGTCATCTGCAAGGAAAAGAAGACGCAGCTTCATTCCTTGTGATGCACTCTCTGCGGCGCTTTTCCTCCTGATGATATATCTCCCCAACAATGGTAGCAGTAGCACCGAATCCCATTCTGTGCATTCAGCCTCTCTTTTCACCCGCTCAGCATCAAACACATGGAGTTCCTCATCTGTATGCTCAAACAGGTATGGCTCTGGGTCTGTGTCCGCTACAAGAAACTCTTCAAAATCGCGTTCAAAGTCGTCCATTGCAGCTACTATAGTCCGGAGATATTGCTAGGCTAAATAAACAGCTGAGCTCTGTTTACCGGCTACGCTGTCAGCCAGTGTGCGGGCTGGAGATTGGCGGAGCAGAGAGGGGAGGGGGGGTCCCCACTTAGTATGGTAAACGAGTATGTTTGTAAAGTTATTAAGTGTGTCTGTTACGCTAGAAGAGTCAGAGTTTGGGACGGAGTCTTCTACCCCCTGGAGTGTTACCAGAGTTTCTGGAGTGCTCAAATAAACGGGCTTTTTTCCTGAATGCTCCTCTGGTCTCCTGCTCGTGAAGGATTCATTACAATATCGTAACATGGTTTAGATTTCTAAATAAACATTCACCTCGTCGCTAGATAGACCTACTCCTGAAAAAGTTGTGCGCAAGGCTTTTTGTCCCTACGAGGCCACCGTCATTTACCCGACGGGAGGGGTGAGCGAGTGAGCCCTGCAATCTAGAATTTGACCACTGATGTCACTGTTTTCAACGGTTTTCAACCCATTTTACATACTGGCACTTTAAGACTGGAAAAAGGTTGTACAATGTTTTAAAGCAGTAGAGGCAGTAGTGACATGCGCAGATATAACAACATTGCAGAAATAGCAGGACATATAAATAGCAGCAGCAGAAAAGACTTCAGTGCTCAGTGTGTGTGTAGTTAATGTAATAATTCGGGGAAATATGTTTCTTCACTTTCTTGTTTGTACAGATTGAACAAATGAGAAATAACAGTTAATTTCTGAGCTTTACAGGTGCTGGTAAGGTTATGTTTCCTTCTGACAGAGCCAGGCTAGCCTTTTTGCAGTCTTTTGCTAAGCTAACCAGCTTTGCTACAGCTGGGCTGTATCCTTAAATTTACCGGGCAGATAAGAGAGTGGGACTCTTCTTACTAACTCTCAGCAAGAAAGCAAATATTTCCTAAAATTATAACCTTTAAGGGAAACTTTGTATTATTGAACCAGGACCCTATTATCCCATGTTTTTGTGTCAAAGTAACTAATGTAGACAACAATTTTTGAAGCCTATCCCGGCTGACATTGGACTGTGGGGGGAAGCCGGACCACCTGGAGGAAACCCACACTGTCACAGGGAGAACATGCAAACTCCGCACACAAGGGCTCCCCTACTCTAGGTTTGAACTCCTACCCTGGGTTTGAACCAGGAACCCAATTGCTGTGAGGCGACAATGCTAACCACTGCGTCACTGAGCAAAATTTTGTTACACACAGTAACAAACAAGATCAAATGAAAGGTAAAGAAAAACACTGAAATTATCTGTATGGTCTTTTCCATAATGTTTAATGTTGACACTTATATCAACAATCTGAGCCATCAGTAGCAAAAACAAGAACTTTTAGTGGACGTACATTGACAGTGCCAAATGCCCTGAGTGGTAACAGCTTAGTCTGTTTCAGTGCTGCCAGCTGCAGTGCTCTCATTTAATACTGGACCAGTTTCAAAAATTGTTGTTTCCATTCGACACTTACACACAAAAATCTGGGGATAAAAAGGGTCCACGTTGAAAAATATAAGTTTCTCTTCAAGGAACAAGTAATTCACATTTATCAGTCCTGGGATTGTAATACAAACCAAATATATGCAATTACATAAGTACAAAAAGTGACTAAAATGGACAAACTCCAACTTTAACACTTTTCATCAAAGATTTAATGGAACATAAAACATAGTCTTAGCTTGTAAGAAAGTTCAAACCCATAGCATCACAAAGAACTTCTGTGGCGAATCACTGAGTGTGTTTTCTCACACACACTCATTCACTGCTCTTTCCGTCAGCCTCTCTGCTGTGGTCTGCTGGTGGTTTGGCACCAGGGCGTCCCCGGGGGTTCTGAGGGGAGATCAGGGCCTTGTAAATACTAGCATTATTAATCTTAATAGGAACGATCCAGGACGGCTCTGAAGGTGTCTCTGCCTCGAAGGCAGCAGACCTGCCGTAAATCTCAGGCACTCTGTTGTTCTCCTCTACATCACTCAGTAAATCTCTCACTACCTACATGCATCCTCCCTCTCTCTCTCTCCCACAGTGTCTTCACTCTGCTGCCTGTTGTCTGTGCTGCATGGGAAGATTTTGTAGGCAGTGACAACAGATGTGTGGGCAATAATTAGAGCGATGGTATATATCCTTTCACAGATGAAGAGAAGGCCATTCTCATGATGTGTGCTGTTCATGACAGATGGCAGCGCGTCGGTTGGTTTTAAAGTCGCCCTTTGTGTGATTTAGTCATACCAGGCAGATTGCATGTATTTACTGTTGTGGTGATTTTTCACTCAGGTCGTGATTTCATCCATTTTTCATCATTTGTTGCGAGTCTACATTTAGTGTTTTCAGCTCAAGAGGTGTTTCTGTTAGTTCATAGCAATGCCTCATAGTATAAATCAGCTCAAAACACACAGCTAATTCAGTACTTCGTAAACGACAAACTTAAAAAAAAATCTGGTGTAGGTTTATATTTTTCTTAATGGCAACAAAAGATCAAAATCTACAATGTGTTGGTCCACCATCTGAGACTTTTCCATTATCCTGTGGCACTCAGCCCCAACCCCATTAGTTCTGAAGACATAAAAACAGGTCACAAATATGCATATGCATATATTGTTTTTTTGGAAATGGAAAGTAATTTCCCTAAAACAGCTGGGCATCGTAGATTTCAGCAAACTTTACTTAAACAGGAATCGGGGAATAGTCAAGGACTATTTTGTGCTGTGGATTAATACACCTGGTGTGCTCGTGGGTATTTACAGTAGCAGGATGTGGGATTGAATCAAAATAAACAAGTATCTGCGTTCATTGTAATGTCACCCAGTGCAACATTTTGGCTTAGTGCATGTTTTTAATAGTTTTACAAAGGAATAAGTAGTGTCAGGCTTTGAAAATGGCTTCACAGTCAGAACAGATCATTTCAATAAAATCTACAGTATTACCAGCATTATTCTTTTAAAGTCACTGAAGAGTTGAACCAAAAAAAAAAAACAACCTATAGGTGTCATTTTAGGGGTACTGTGAGGCTCAGTTTATAGCAGGGGTGCTCAAAGTTTCGATGACCAAGTACCAATTGAGGAAGCCAGCATATCACTGAGGGCTACACACATTCAGGACATACGATTTTGGCCACTTTCACCAAGCAGACCCCTAGAAATTCTCCATCACAGAAATGCTTACCATGCTTAGCCACCACAGTTACACCTTCTCTACTTTTCACAGCATTTGTAAGAACTAACTGTTTGGCAGATAAGTCTTGTTAAAACTGTTCAACCTTATGTTTGTGTTTTTCACCCATGAACTTGTCACAGGATTTGTGATCAGTCACATATGTGCTTCGATAAGGCTGATCACCTTATCTCTCCCCAAAGATCTCATGAAATAAGAGTTAATCCATTTTTCCTGAAACCTCCTTTGCTCCTCAACCGTACAGTGTTTTTCCATGGCGGATTTTCCATCTCATTTCCACATTAAACTGCCGAGTTATCCACTGAAATTGCTAGTTTTCACTAAGAGTGCTGGCACTGACGACCGAACGCAATTCCCGCAACATGTATAAAGTGTGGAGCTGCTCCATAGACAATTAATTAGGAAAGACGTTCTAGACCGTCTCTGTGAAAAAATTACAACGTTACATTTCAGCATGCAGTCCACTACTGATGAAATGCAGGCTCACAACAGTATTGGCTAGACACAGTGCACTCAGGAATCTCAGATAGTGGTCTGGCAACAATAGCCAAGGATGGAAAACATTCTCCTTTCCTTGGGGAATTGAGATTGGGATACTGATTAAGCTGCCTGAATTCCCTGTTAGAGTCAGCACGTTACCCAACAGATTTAGATGTCTCTCTTAACTCTGGACATGTTTGACTGCAGATG